AGATCCCAAAAGACAGAGAGGAACTCAGACAGATGCCTAAACATGACTACTCAGAGCAGCACTATTCACACCAGCCACAAGGAAGAAAGGATCCACATATCCATTCACAGATGAAAGAATAGCCAAAATATGGTAGTATTAATTGAGGGCAAAAAGAACGAAGTACTGATATATGCTATACTATGATGACCCCGGGAAACATAAGGCTAGTGAGAATGAGCCCCTGCTGGCAGAGCGGCTAGCAGTTCCCAACCACCAGCTGCTCTGCAGGGCAAAGAGAAGACTGTACAGTCCTGGGAAGAGTCACGGTCTCGGAAGCCCACAGGGGCAGTCCCACCCTGTTCTGATAAGAGACAGAACTGACTTGATGGCAGTGACTTATTTTTGCGTTAGTGAAATAGGTCAGGCGGAAAAGGTCACATATGTATGACTGGATTAATAAGATCGAAAGGGCTACAACAGGTAAGTTCCTAGAACACAGACTGGGAGTTGCCAAGTGCTGAGGAAAGGGGTTGTGGCAAAAGGGATACATGGGTTTCTTTTGAGGTGATGAAAATATTTTGGAATTTGACAAAGATGGTGGCTGAGCAAGCTTGTACTAAATGTTATTGAACTATTAAGTTTTTTTAAAACTCTTAGGTGAATTTTGACTCCATTAAAAGTAAATTTTAAGAATTTATATGCTACCATATACAATTATTTTTCAATTTGCTGTATCTTCTTTGTGGTGGTTGTTAGCACAACAGAAGGAAACACTGCCGGTCCTGTGCCATCCTCACAATTGTTAGATTTGAGCCCATTGTTGTAGCCACTGTGTCAATCCATCTTGTCAAGGGTCTTCCTCTTTGTCACCATCCCTCAACTTTACCAAGCATGATGTCCTTTTCCAGGGACTGCTCTCTCCTGATAACACATTCAAAGTACATGAGATGAAGTCTTACCATCCTTGTTTCTAAGGAGCATTCTAGCTGTACTTCTTTTAAGACAAACTTGTTGGTTCATAATTCAAATGCATCAATTCTTCAATCTTCTTTAATCGATGTCCAACTTTCACTTACATATGAAATTATTGAAAATACCATGGCTTGGGCCAGGCACACCTTAGTCCTCAAAGTAACACACTTGTTTTTCAACACTTTAAAGAGCTCTTGTATTTGGTTTTTGTTTTTTACATTAAGTTGTAATCTATAGTGAAGCCTGCAGTCATTGATCTGCATCAGCAAAGTGTTTTAAGTCCTCCTGGATTTCAGCAAGCCAGGTTGTGTCATGTGCACACAGCAGATTGTTAATAAGTCGTCCTCCAATCCTAATGTTGTATCCTTCTTATGATCCAGTTTCTGATTATTTACTCAGCACACAGACTAAATAAGTATGTGAGAGGACACAACCTTGAAGCACACCTTTCCTGATTTTAAGCTACGTAGTATTTATTCTTTTTGTTACAATGTACTTAGCCAAATGCCTTTGCATAGTCAATAAAACTAAGTAAGGATTTCTGATAGCCTTTTCTTTCAGCCAAGATCCATCTGACATCAGCAATGATATTCCTTATTCCACATCTTCTGAAAGATTTTGAATGGTTTAACAATGGTCGCAGCAGTACATTGACAGGGAGCTGCCAGAAATCCAGGCTGGAATTTCATCCTCAGAAGAAGATGTGGTCACTATGAATAAGAATCAACTTGATGGCAGTGGGTTTGGTTAGAAGGATCCATTTAAACCCAACAGCGGCTCAGCAAGGAAAGAGGAAACTTTCTATTCCCTTAAAGATTTACAGCCTATGAGGCAGAACTGATTTCAGGGCACTGAATTTTGTGGGGTGCTGGTGGTGGTGGTGGTGGTTTGGAGTGGTTAGTAAGGCAGGACATTACGTTTAAAAGGATTAGGTTGTGCTTCTGTTAACAAAGCAGATTTGGGTGGGATGCATCACTGTTACTTAAGTTGCCATCCTTACTCAGGTCACAGCCCTGATCCAAACCTAAATCCCAACTTTCTGCCTTCAAGTTGACTCAGAGCAACCCGATAGGAGAGAGCAGAATTGCCCTTGTGGGATTCCGAAGTTGTAAATCTTTAAGGAGTCAGTGGTCTCACCTTTCTCCCCAGGAGCTGGTAGGTTCACAGCATGATCTTTGTGTTTAGCAGCTCAAGGCATCACCTGCTAAGTCATGAGGAGGAAGCCGGCAGAGAGGGATTTCAGCATCGTCAGGAAAGGAGAACGGAGGGGGCACATCCTTTGGGACATGGGTGCCTGTGCTGAGATGCTCCTAGACCCAGGAGGAGACTGATGCCAAGACACATGGACATCTCCAAGGGTTGCCGAGCTCACAGATGTTGAAAGGAGACAAGCACCTTCTCTATAAGTTGACAGAAAGGCTTTCCATAGACTTAGTGTCCTGAATTTGAACTCCAAACTTCCTAACTATGAGAATAAATTTGAAATCCATCCACCTGTTACATAGCAGCACTCAATAACTAAGACCGAAGTTAGTATCAGAAGTGGGGCCCTGCTCTAACACAAGGTGGAATTAGTTTTGAATAGAGGTGGGGAGACCTAGTAGCATAGTGGTTACAAGTTGGGCTGTGATCAGCAAGGTCAGCAGTTTGAAACCACCAGCCTCTCTGTGAGAGAAAGACAGGGCTTTCCCTTTCACAGTTACAGCCTCAGAAGCTCACAGGACAGGTCTACTTTATCCCATAGGGTTGCTATGAGTTGGCGTTGACTCCATGGCAGTGAGTTTGGCTTTTTCCTTTTTTTTTTTAAATAGTAAAGTCTAGATTGCTTTGAGCAGTAAAAGGAAGTGAGGAGAGCTGTACCACCAGAGATAGCTTGGATGGCAGGAAGCAGCAGTAGCAGAACCAAGAGACCGGCTGGAGATGGCATAAGAGCTAATCCAAAGAATGATAGAGCTGAATACTTTATGGGCTTCCTGGTAGGGCGGGGTACCTCTGAGCATGAAAAGGTAGCCCTAAAGAACTTTAAAATACTTTCCTGAGCAGAAGAAAGGCTGGGTTAACACAATAGGCCTCGGGCTGAGAAGCCAAGGAACTAGGAAGCCGAAGCTGAAGAGACAAAGAGAATGGGAGGCAGAGTTGCCTCAGTCTGAAAGGTAGGACCACAACCTCTGGGGCCTCAAATGGTAGGGCCACAGAATGCTGGGTTTCCAAGGGTGGGGCCATAGGGCAGTTTAGTTTTGGAGTGTAAGGCTACCATTATAAATGCCAGGGGGATGGAACCAGATCTGCTACCCAAAGCTGAGGGGGCAGAGCTGCCATCTGAAGGAGTAGAAGGAAATGGCTTGCTGAGGCTGATGGGACTGGGTCACCACTCGGCTGGTCTAGGAAAATGGGGCCATCCCAAGCTGGAGGCACAGAGTTGCCATTCAGGTGGGAGGGACTGGTAGGTAGAGCTGAAGCCTAAGGCCAAGGAGTCTCCACCAGAATCCAGAAAGCATGACTAATACCCAGTCAGGAGGGCATGGCCACTGCCTAGTAGGTCTCAGAATACAGAGGATTATTTTCAAGCCTCGAGAGTTTAACGCAAATTGTTCTGCTGGGTTTTGTAATTGCTTAATGCTCATTAATTCTTCTTTCCCTCCAATTTTTCCCCATCTGTAATGGAACTGCCTACCTCATGTCTGGTTCCACCATTATACTTTGGAAGCAGATCATTTATATTCTAGATTCACAGCTGATGAGGAATTCTGCCTCAAGATTGAATTTGGGAATTGAAGATTTGGGGGACAGTATGGTGGGGAGAAAGTGTCTTGCATGTGGCAAATACATGAATTTTTTAGGGGGAGAGGGTCAGAGGGTAGAATGTCATGGATTAAACAGTACCTCAAAGTATGTGTCAACTTGATTGGGCCATGATCTACAGTAGTTCGGCAGTTTTGTAATCAAGTCTCGGGAGCTACTTAGGGACTTGGTTATTATCACCTTGTATTTTATCAGAGATAAAAGGGGATAGAAGTGAGCAGAGAACACCCGTTTGACTCACATTCCCTGTACTGAGACGCTCCTAGACCCAGGAGGACTGATGCCAAGACACATGTCCCAGGAATACCAGAGTCACAAATTCTGAAAGGACCTTCATCCTACACCGAAAGCTTTTTGCTGGAGCTGGAGCCCTGAATGCAGACATCTAGGCTCCTAACTGATGAGAGAACACTTTTGCTAACACCATCGACTTGTTACTTTTGTTACAGAAGCCCTACATAACTGTGACAACATACAAGTCCATTTCACTATCAACTAAGGTCTTTCGCATTTAACACATGGGCAATACAATGTCCTACATTAGCCCAACTGCAAAGAACTGTGTAATTTGTATGCTTAATTTAAAGAGAAAATCAAATCATCAAAAGCAGTGTGGCTGACTGAAACACGTAAGGCCTTAATCAGGGAGAAAGTAAAAGTAAATACAGAAATGGTAAGGACTATACCTGTTTCTCTTTCAATGTTTTCTCACCAGCAGCAATGGTGCTAAGGTGCTAATTTTTGTACATCTGCTGCTAATTTCATAAGAGATTTATAGTACTCAGTCCTCCTTTTGTAGGTAAATGATTTGAATTCACGTACATATAGCGATCAATATATTTACCGGTTTAAAACTTGATTATAAATCCTTGGGAAGCAAGTCGTGATAATATTCCAAGTTTCTGATACAAACATAAAGCCCAAACTGTATAATAGTTCTATCAATGACTTCACCTGATAAAATTCCTAGAACTTCTTCTCACATGCAAAGAATGAATCTATGAGATTAATATGACAATTTGAGAACCTATGACAATTTGAAAATTTTTATCTGTCACTATTTTGTACAAAATCATATATTCAAGGCTTAACAAGTGATGAGAAAGGCTGTTTCCCATTAAGTACTTATACTAAGTACTTAATGTATGCCTTTTTGTCTCTCACAGATTTTAATTAGCAGTGTCCCTTCATAACCAGCGTGCAACTTCATAGAAACCGTACAAAAGTTAAGTATTTGAAATCACCTTGTGTGGTGAAGTTGAAGAGTGCAGGTGTGTCTCGCCCATTTGGTAGTTTAACATTTGGGTCCCGTAATTCATCAAAAAATGAATGAGCACAAGCTTCCAGTGGTGTCAGTCGGGCAGTTGGTGTATACTCCAGCAGGCGGCTACACAGTGCAATTGCCTCCGGTGGAGTTCGGGGTCGGAAGACCTGCAGTAACAAGAACAACAGCAAAAAAAAAAAAAAAAAAGGTGGAGGAACAAACAATTAATATTTTCTTACAGGAATCTAAGCAAATAACCCCTGAGTTCTGAGTCAATTCCCACCATGCACAAAGGATGATAGGAGCCTTCTATAAGGGAAAGTAAACTGCTTATGACTCACCACACTGAGGTGAGTGGTTAATTAAAGATTATTAAGAACAGAGCCAAGAGAAAAACTGGGGGACGTGGCAGAATAGAAATATACTCATCAAAAAGCAGTATAACCAATGATATAATCATAATGCATACAAAAATAACAGGCTAGGACCTAGAGGCAAAGCCAAACTAGAAGAACATATTTTCTTTTCTTTTACTCTAGGTTTTGATTACCGTGGCAGTACATGAAAGGTTGCATGTTTTGCATGATTTTTCATAGAATAATTCTTGATAGAGGAAGTACTGGTTCAATTTTGGCAATCACATCTTTTTATAAAAGTTGATTACTCTAGAATTATAAATGCTAATTATTTGGTGTTATGAACAGACCCCATCATTATTTGGAGAAGCCCTTGATTATCTAGAATTTGGCAGAATCTCTGACATTGCTTTTTCAAGTGGCCGTTATCACGAATCTGGCCAGATTATTTGACATACGAATGAAAACTCTAGGTTTTAACCAAGGAAGTATAATTCATTAAAAGCCAGTGACCTACAGAAAAAAGGTCAACCGAAGGCTACATTGAATTAACATGTGAATGATTTGTTTAAAGAAACAAAGATTTCTACTCATTTACGTCTTAAGACCAAACACATTAGTTTATGAAAACATACTTTATACTTCAGCTAAAGAATACATATAGAAAGAGAATAGAAATAAACACAAACAGATGGATAGAAATCTTTGAGATTAAAAAAAAAACCGGAAACATATACCCTCTGATAGCAAGAACATGCAACCAAATCAAAGGGGCAAAAGATGGAGATGACTAGACACAGGCAGAGAAGGCGGCATGTGGAAATGAAAGTAAGGAGTTCCACTTGTGAGGAAAGGAGATTTGAATTACGAGGAGGCAGAGAGAACTTGACCATGGAACGTTTCCTATAGAGAATGGCTCATGGAAGAACTGGCTATTCACTAAGGCTGAAAGCAGGATTAATTACGACATAGTTCATTTAGATATTTAAGAGATTATTTATAGGAATACTTTCTTCAGCACAAACAGTTATTTTTGCTTTTGTTTTACACAAAGTTTATTAGTGATAAAGATATCCCTCATGGAAATTAAGAAGGTGGGTTGAGTAGAACCTTATGAATGTTTGAAACCTTAAAAGGTTTTAATTTATTGTCAGAAGGTTCTCTATAATGTCAAGAGCTGCTGTCTCTTTATTCTTTTGAGGGCTTTGATTTGTTTTACTCAAGGAAATCGGATGGTTATTGTAGGACTTTGGATCTTCTACTGTCCTTGATCATTTCACCCTCTTGCTTTTAAAGTCCATGATCCAACCCAGAATATGAAAGAAAATAATCAGAGGGGAACACTTAGAAAAATTACTAACTCATTTTTTATCTTATAGGGCTATCTGAATTTATTTGCCAGTATATGGGTTTTATTTTTCTAGGTAAGGTAAACCCCAAAATTTCCACCAATATTGGAGTGTATAAAATCACCTGCTAACATTCAAATGTCAGATAGGTTGGATGGTGAGTGCACTGAAGTGATGAAATATTATGTTATATTAAGGAATATTCTGTGCTAAAACTATTCATAAACTAGTATTATAAGTCTATTTTTGGCTTATTAAAAAAAGCCACCTAAACTTTTTTAGATGCATGGTGGGTTCCAGGTTATTGGGTTGCTCACCCCAAAGATCAGTGGTTCAAACCCACCACCTGCTCTACGAGAGAGAGAGAAGGCTTTCTGCTCCCATAACAATGTGCCCCTTTGGAAACCCACGGGGCATGTAAAGGGTCAGTTCTACTCTGTGCTGTAGGGCTACTGGGAGTTGAATAGACTCGATAGCCCGGAGTTGCCTGTGGTTTGGTCTATCTTTTTGGTGTCTGATTGGTTTCTCATGATCATTTGTGTTGGTACTAAGACATATGCTAGCCTGTTTTATCAAGAAACCTTAACTCACTGAGTCAAAGAGGGAAAAATAAAGTATTTGTTCCAATAGCCTACATTAAAATCAAGATTTTAAAAATGCATCCACCGTTATTTTAAAACCTTTGAGAAATTCCTGATGAGAAAAGTCTTGGTTCAGTATTCTGTGGACAGGAGTTAACTGGAAAACTATGGGGGGTTGAAACCCAGTACCTCTCAGAGTTCAGATTTCTGATCATAATATACATGTGGTAGTATGTAACTTCCAAGTTACAGGCCAAACTAGAAAGGTTCTGAATTTTCTTTGTGTCTAAAGGAAAGAACACTAACAACTAACGAACTTGCTGCTGTTTCACTCCTTGTTCATTTAAATGGCTAAATACTCAGAATCTTTGGTTTTATGGATTTTCATCAATATTTATTCTTATGATGATTTAAAAGGAAGGAAAAAAATGATTTTAAATTTCGACAATTCCTAAATTCCACTGTAGATGTCAATGAATCACACAGGAGATTAACATTCTATACCATAAGCAAAATTTTACAATGAATGAAAATGGAAATCAAAGCTACCCATAGGATTTTCATTACTAGATTTTAAGAACGAATTTAGTCTTTCAATAAGTTTCCCCTAGTTTTATAGACCTGCCTTGAAATTTTTTGGGGAAAAAAATTAAGTACATACCCGCACTCCTGAGGTGAAATGTCCTGTTCCTGACGAATCCTAAAGATGAGAATGCAGTGAAATAATCCAAACAGGGGAAGTCAATCCAAAAGAGAATAGTCCAGCAAGGAAAAATATATCCAATGTTATAAGAAATCCATAGTGTGGGGGACATCATAGAAAATGTTTATACAGTTATAAACTTTAAACATTAGTCTCCACAGTAGCAAGTCCAAGCTTTGAAAATTACTTCACCACAGTGTATGCAAAAAATTTTTTTGATTTGTGCAATGGTGAGGCACACTAAAGAAACATTTTAATTTTGGTTAGTTATGTTCCAATGCCAGTGTGTTTATTAAAAAAATACAAAACCAAAAAAAGTTAAAATCAAAATGAAATCTAGAAGTAAAGTTCCCAAAGTAAAGTGTTTGGTCCTCTATGACCTTGATTCACTGTCAGACACATGACTGGGAAGGGGGCATATAAGCTTCCTTGTAAAGGCATGTGAGTTCCCAATATGCTAATTTTTCTCTATTCATGTGTTCCAGAGACACAGTATAAACATTTTTCACTAAAATATTAGTGATAAGAAGAAAGCAATAATATATTTAGTTTGTATTACTATAGATTTCAAGCCAGATTATTTTCAATTTGTGTGTGCTAAGAACAGATCAGGCCACCGCGGATTATTCTTCATTTTGGATTGACTTCCCTGCTAGAGATGTTTATTTGCTGACATTCTCATTTCCTTAGGACCCTTTAAGAAATTGACGCAGTACCTCAGGAGTGCGGGTATAACTTAATTTTCTATTGTGGGCTTTGCCCCCTTGTACCCTTGCACCCATTACTTAGGGAAATACAGAACATCATTTCCTTTTTGGAATAACTCATTTAAAAAAAATCCTATGTTTTGAGCATTACAAATTCAACACAATTCTACTGCAAGTATGACCAATTCACCCACCAAAAGCTAAACAAGACTATATAGAATGAGCAGTCCAACCAAGGGTCAGTCACAGTTACAGGTGATACATATGCTAACATACACCAACACCTAGGCATAAAGAGCCAAATCCACAGGGAGGTTGCAGGTCTATTATGTCTAGGTATTGAGAACCAAAACGTCAGAACTCACCAGTAGCTGTGAGTTCCCTTGGCTATTCTAAGAGAATTTAACATTCTTGTAGGATAGTTTCCAGTGGGGGAATGAACTAGTTTACAAAAAATAAATAATCCGCGGATTACTTTTAGTCTGCAGACTAAAATTTAGTACACGGATTAAAATCCGGCCCATTAGAATAACAATCTCTCATGAACTAAAACACAAGCAGTGGACAAAAATAGAAAACCAGACTAAAAGAACTGAGAGCACAAAATAAGACTCAACTGGGCCAACTAATAATTAGTGCGCAGACTAAATATGGCCAGCCAGATATGCTGCGAGGCCATAAAGATCCCAAAACACCCCTACAGAAACTAAAACTGAAAGTAAATAAGTAAAGCAAAACGGAACAAAAACCAAAATCAAAAGGAAAAATTAACAAATAAGAAAGGAAAAATGTAAAAGAACCAAAACACTGACATGAACTTTTAAAAGTGATCCAAATACTACCTCACCTATTGCAGCAACTCATTTTAAGTGGAAACAATGATCAACTCTCATCACAAAGACTAGTCCACAGAAGGCACTAACTGAAAAAATTTAGTCTTTTCAAAAGGCAAGTCTCTGTGGCATTGAACAAATGCAAACAAGTCCTTCAAAACAAAATTGGTCAAAATAAATTTTCATTTGGATAACTCACTAATGACAGAGGCAATCTCTTCCCTCTACATGTCCTAGAACAGATGATGGCCATCAAATTTCAGCCCAGCTAATTATTACGACTGACTCACAAGTCCTTTACCATGACTATTGGTAAACAATCGTACATATCAGCCATACAAAGGCCTAGGCTGAAGATGCTCTCACAGCATCAGCTCTTAGCAATTCTAATTTAGTAAACAGCCAATTAGAGTACTACCGGGTTAAAATTCCTGTTTCTCATGGCTGTGGGAAGTGATAGTTAATCTAATAGGAATAGAGTATAAAAAATGAGCGCTGTGTCACTGTGATAAACATACAACATTGAGACTGCCTTCTGGTCATTCACAAAACATAAGCATCCAGTGTTAACAACAGGTAAACCAAAAATACGCCTAAAATATACCCCATTATTATTGCTCAAATAATTTTTCCATCATCTATAAGGATTTTCATAAACCTAAATGCAGGATTCAAAATGAGACAACAAAATTAAACTGTTGAATACTTAATTACACGGCAGTAGTTAACTTAAGTCTCCTGTGATGTTCACATGTACCATGTATATTGAACAATTTTATACAAGTAAGCATACTTAATTTGTCCACGTTATTTATTTTTTAGCATCCTCCTAGGTGGTATTTTGCATGCTTTTATGCATTAATCTAATGACGTATGGGCATAGATGGCAATCCAATTCACTTTATTAAAAAAAAAAAAAAGATTATAATAAGGGGCTACTGATAACCAGGCTTCATGGTAAGTGAAACTGTTTGAAGTGAGCATCTAACAAGTGGATACATAACCCAATACATCTCAAGCTACTGAAAAACCTTTATTTTTTAACCTTTCTTATGATGTCAGTTCTTCTATCTTGGTAATGAAGGCTGAACATCAGAAGCACACAATAACCCTTTCCCTGGTCACTCAAGGCCTAGCGTTTAATGAATTTCAGCTACATGGATTATAAGGCTTGTTCAGTTTTTTTGAGCTCTATTATACAAAAGAAGCCTTATATATTATATGTAGATTGGCACTGAACTATCCAATGTAATTTATGATCTAACACCACACACGAATACAACAGTATTACAGGTGTATACAGATGTGCAATTTACCAAATATCCACTTATCTTTCACTGTTCACAAAAGAGTAATTACAACCAGGTTGGCCTTCCTAGGAATACAAGAATATTTCCCTATCAAGGTCATCTGCTGGGCTACAACAATTCCTAACCTTCTCCACACCTTAGCAAATCCTAACCCTCCCTTCAACAATAGGCATCCCCTCCTCAAGTCTTCTACTATCTTTAAGCCCCACCCTACCCCCACTCTACACAATTGCCTTGACCAACACCAGCACACAATCTATTACATGATTTTATGGTATTTCATATTACTCAATATTTACTTCAATTGAGTTGCTTGTATCGCTTGAATGCTTTTCAAGGACAGCCTTTATGATATCCAGCCCAGCAATGTTATAGGAGATAGGACTTAATAAAGATTTTTTAAAAATTTGCTCTCTTTTATGTTCCATCCCCTACCAGATCCTCTGACCCATCCCTAAGTAGTCTTTAAGCCTGTGTCTTAGCATTCTTCCCTTGTTATATTATTTCTTACCTATATGAACTGGGGTTAATTGCCATCAAGTTGATTCCATGTATGACCATGTGTGCGGAGTAGAACTATTCTAGAATGTTCCCAAGATTGCCAGGCATGTCTTATGAGGAGCCTCTTGATGGTGTAAACCACCAATCTTTTGACTGATGGCTGTGACCTTAACTATTTTTCTACCCACTGACTCCTTACATAAGGATTAAGTACTCCAACAGCTGGATTTTAATACGTCTACGTTTCTGGTAAAGAGATGAGAGTTTAGCTAATGTGCTAAGAGTGTGAGGAAGCCTACTCATGTAGGAAAATGGACATTGGAAAAGAAGTGATTATTCCAGCACTAATAAAGATGTAGGTAGAAATTTAAGTGTAGAATACAGTAGATGTGCATATGAGACAAGTGATAATAGGTAAGCAGAGTGAGTGTTCATGGCTGAGTAAAACATAAAATGGATTCACTGTTAGCAACAGAACAACCGGCAAGAGGCACCTTAAGAAAGAACTGCAACTCCCAGCATGGTCTTCGGCCCCATGGAACACACACAAATGAAACGAGTGAGAGCAGTGGTCTCAACCTTCCTCATGCCATGACCCTGTAATACGTTCCTCATGTGGTGGTGACCCCCCCCAAACCACAAAATTATTTTCAGTGCTACTTCTTCATGGTAAGTTTGCTTCTGTTATGAATTGGGCGACCCCTGTGAAAGGGTCGTTCGACCCCCACAAAGGGGTCGCAACCGACAGGTTTAGAACCGCTGAGTAAGAGAGACCAGAAAAGGCAGGTAAATGCATCACTGAGACGTTTCAGAACAATTTTTATTTTGTAATTCTGTGCTCTCTAGGTCCCTCCGGAAGCATTTTGAGGACTTTTGAGGGGGGTAGGGGTGCAGGTGGATTGGCAATATGCTGAACTATATTTAATTATTGGAACAAGTAGGTATTCTGAATTCTGAAAAATCTTACATCAAAAAGCATAGGAAAAGAAGACGATTATAAAGAAAGTATCAAAAAATATGGTGAATTTTTTGTTTAGCAATAAGCACAGGGAATTATAATAGTTGGTTCAATTTGATCTGATTCTTTTCATAGCTGAAACGTGATCAGAATTAAATTTCCTGCTTGTTTTACTAGATAGAAATACCCATTTGAAATTATGTTCTAAGAAATCAAATATGTAAGAATTGATTTTTGTAAATAACATTTCCTTGAAATATTTATCCAATCACTTGTGGTTCCATATATCGTACATACTTAGCTATTATTAAGTAAATGAGTAAATTTGTAAAAAACTTGACAACACATCTTTTGAGGCACACCTAATTTGTTATCTGTAGTATCACTATTTTTACAAAACAGAAATCAAGACCTGGGGGCTTCAAAAAGTTTATGGAAAAATGGAATTAAAAATTAATATAACTTTCCCATGAATTTTTTGAAGCTTCCTTGTAGATATAAGGAACCCCGGGTCAAAATCATCAGCTGCTCATGGAAGAAAAATGTGACACTCTGCTTCTGTGAGGATTTGCAGTCTAGGAAACCTCATGGGGCAGTTCTGGCCTGTTCTATAGGGTTACTATGAATCAGATCAACTTGATGGCACACAAGAGGCAGAGAAGAATTAGAAGACCATCCTAAATGAGGG